GTGATGAATGTTCGGTATGTTAATCTTGCCACGATAATTGCGAAATGAAAGCAATTAGAGGTCTTGTGCACAGATAAAGACACTGAATGGAAGGAGATTGAAAATTTAAAAAAATGGACGGTTTCCTGTTGATAAAGTTCGTACTTCTTAATAAATATGGATATGCAAGACATAATCAATTATATGTAGAAAAAACGAGTTAATTATATCGAAATTCAGTGCTTGCTGAAAGGTTGTGGAGTCTCACTAGATTTTTAAGTATAATCAATGTTCCAAAGAGAACTTAATTTAAATTTCCATTTATATTCATTTATTGTTATGAATAAAATAATGTATGCAATTGATGTTAACTACTCGGTTAAATAACTATTTTAGGCCATTTTGACACGTTTTGAGACAAATTGGCAAACCATTTGATCGAAAAAGATGATAATTCTGAACGTGCATTCAAGTTTCAACGCGAGCTTCAGAATTGCAAAGCCAAAGCAAAGTTTAATCACTGATTATATTGTCAAAAGGTAAAAATCAAGATGCGAAATTGAGACTAATTTTACTTGTGAAGAATCATTATCTTCAGGATCTGATATGCTGACTATCTCTTCTAATGATGAAAGTGATTTCGAAACAGTTCGCAAATTATGCCGAACACTCTCATATAACTCATATAATTCTAAAGAAAAAAAATGTGAAGAAAGATTAACTTTCATACAAATTTTCTATATGTTTTTTTTTGTAAAATTTTTCCGTATAAATTTAGAAGGAATAAGTTAAGATTATATTTGTCTGAAATTTAATAAACTTGTCTATGATTGTTAACGTTTTTTATAAAATTATGAATAAACATTTCAGAAAGAAATATGATAGTAAGACTAATTATTTTTTCTGAAATTTAATAAACTCTTTTTTATGCGATTTTCGGTATATTCTAACTCATTGATTTAGTTTTATGCGGTTTTAAAAAAATTATGAAACGTATCCTTTATTTTTATACGTGAGTCTAGTCCTTTTTTGTGCGATTTATTTTTATGCGTTTTTCCTGTGGAACGTATCTACCGCATAAAAAGAGAACCAAGTATATAAATTTAATATGTAATCAATTCCTTTCAAACACAATTTATTCATGTTTCAGACATTTTAGTAAAGTTATTGTAAAAGTTCAGTTGATATATAAATAAATTGATGCGCCAATGTTTTCAATAAACGTAACATAATTGGATAGTAAGACTAATTATTTTGTCTGAAATTTAATAAACCCTTTTTTATGCGATTTTCGGTATATTGTAACTCATTGATTTAGTTTTAAGCGGTTTTACAAAAATTATGAAACGTATCCTTTATTTGTATACGTGAGTCTAGTCCTTTTTTGTGCGATTTATTTTTATGCGTTTCCAAGTATATAAATTTAATACGTAATCAATTCATTTCAAACACAATTTATTCATGTTTCAGACATTTTAGTAAAGTTATTGTAAAAGTTCAGTTGATATATAAATCAATAGATGCGCCAATGTTTTCAATAAACGTAACATAATTGGAACTGCTAGTGAACGTGGGTATAATAAATCTATTTGGATGGTAATAGCAATGTTTATTGGATAATGAGGAGGCGCGTCGTCGAACCAATAGGTAAGTAATGTTCGGCGATAAATCTAGTAAATCGACTATGTTATGCCATTTTCTTTTGTTTTGTCCATTGAATAATGTCGAACATTAGAAGCTTGTGGCGAGCGGCAATCGGTGTTGTGATAGATGATGTTAATTTAATTACTCCAGCTGTTACAACCTACCTCAGAGAGCTGCAGATATTCAATGACACGCTGCGAATCAATTACAACTTTGGACGGGATGCGGATGGTGTGATTTGGATATAGTCCTGTAAGGGTGATCAACGAAGAGTGCGAGAAGTTAATAGCATGCAGCAGCAGCAGATTGCCGAGAACTGTTTACTAGTGGGCACGTGTACGGTAACAACAACAGCAGCTGCAAACCAGAACCACCCTTCTCATAGACCTGAAAACCCTCATCGATTTGTTAACACGCTCCGGTCGTGGTGGTGGTTCAAGTAAATTTGTTCAGCCACCCCAAAAAGTTCGCCCTTCGTCGCTACCCCAGTCCTCTCGCACCCTCTATAAACCCCAAGCGCATAAACACGATCCACGGCTCATTGCCTCCTCCTCATCCGTCCCCCGAAAATCCAGCAGCTCCAAGAGATGGGAAGATGCTCATCATCATTATCGTGGCGCTTCATTAATAAATCAATTGCATTCGTTTTATTATAAACGAGACGAAAACAATTACCGTCTAATAATTACTTTCCATTTAACACACGAAGAGAGAGAGAGAAACACAAGTTATAGAACCTGGCAACCTCTCAAGAAAGTCAAGAAAATTACAATCAATGATCACAGAAAACTTCAACTATATAATTAATATCTCGTAGCAAATGAAGTAATAAGTACATATGTTATTTCATAGAAATACCCAAAAAGTACATAAGTAGTTATTTGACAAGTACTAATTAAATTAAAAAGTACTCGCGTTTATACAATTTATTTGCAATTACAATGACTGACTCACAAATCTATGCAGCAGAAACCAAATAAAGTTTGTGTGAATCACTTTCGATATAGCTCAACCCCTCTTTCCAAGTAGAGGGTCTATGTCCCCCTTATTTTCAGAGTTCGAACATTACTCGCCTGGATTATTTCCTAATAATTATATGCTACTGCACCCCAAGTCGAACAACCCCTGCTGTTTGAAGACATGAAGATGAAGACAATAAGTGCAGAAAATTGGATTTTCATATCATGTATGAAATGTTTAAAACCATCGAGAAATGACAATTTAAAAACAATGAAAATATTCATGAAAACGTTGCGGATGCTCTCTAGAGAAAGGTGAAGAAAGTTCAATTTCGTACACCTGCATGCAGCCAAATTACGGCCCAAATAATTGCAGACTTCCGAATTTCCGAGTTGCGACGATTATGTTGATGTTGATGATGATGATTACGATGACGAAGTGGACCATAAATAAAGTATAATAGTCGTTCCATGAATATGCGTTGGGGCGATCGTTATTATTGTTATTACCTGAAGGCGGCCTGAAGAAGTTTAATGTAAACAGTCGGCCTACGCGAGGGCGATTAATCAAATAGATTACGTAAGCAGCGGAGGGGGGTTTGGGTGAACGGCCGGGAAACGGCGTCTGCACGAAATAATTCGTTGATTAAAGGCCTTCTCCTTCACAACTCTAGTTTCTTTGCATACTTTCTCATTAGCAATTCGCGATCGCCGCTCGCGATTGCCACCACACACACAGAAATACACACGATTCTTGTAGCAATTTGAAACCGTGGTAGGAACAATGATGAAAAAGACTACACCGTTTCGTTGCTTTACACCAGTGATTCCCAAAGTGCTCTTTATCGACCCCCAGGGGTCTATGACAACCTGCAAAGGGTCTAAGGGTGGCAATCAAAATCCCAACGTTCGAAATCCCGACTATATCGAAATACCGAACAGAACATTAATGAATTATCTTTGCGGAATAGCTCATAGTGTTTCATTATAATTATTTTATTAATTTTTCTATTATAATAAAGATAATTTTAAAAATTCATCGCTCGAGTTTTTTTATTTCTAGAATATAACGGGGGGAGTTGAGATTATTAATGTTGTTCTTAACTATTAATAACAATATATATTTATTATTGTATTTGGTTTCATTGACTTAATAAAACTTAAAATTAAGAAATTACAATTAATTTATTGTTATTAATATTAAATAATAGTAGATTCGGAATAATTTAAAATGTTATTGTATAAATTATATAATAAAAGACATTGTCGGGATTTCGATATATGTTAACTTATTTTTTATTTCGGAATAATTTAAAAATGTTATTGTAAAAATTTTCGATATAGTGGGGACTTCGATACAGTTGGGATTTTGATATAGTCAGGATTTTGGTTATCGGGCTTTCGATATAGACCCGATCTCAACATACATTGATAGTATCTATTTACTTACATTATACTATCTTATAATATAAAGACATATACATTATTTATAAAAGTATCCATGAAGTAAAAAAAATATTATTTATGTTTATAAAATTGTGTAAGTTGTAGGATGTAGGCATTCATCTTGTTACAAGCATACGCGCAGTCTTAGAGCAAAGATCTTAATAATTATAAAGATGTCCCAATATAAATAATAAATTTACAAAAAATCAATATCAGGTAAATAGGGCAAGTATGGCAAGTGGTCTACGACACAAAAAAGTTTGGGAACCTCTGCTTTACACGGATCTCAAATTGGTAGGTTACAGATCTTGCGCTACTATGATGTACGTATATTCATAAATATTGAACCTTGAATATGGTACAAAAATCAACAATCGATGATTCAATTCCATCTCGCACCTGTCATTAATACGCAGACAGAAATATGAGAGGAATTACTACGATCTTAGTTTATTTATCCATTAAATTAAGTTAATTAAAATAAAAGTACTATAAACTGAGAGTTTAAATTTAGGCTATACGTTAATTTTTACTTAATAAAGTATAGTTTATACATAGAGTAAAATTATAAATAAGTTTTTAACTTTACCTAAAGTATTATTATATACATTAATGTTGATATTTCTTATTGAGAAGTTTTTGGATAATTATACTAAAATATTAATACTAAAATATTACGTTTTACTTTAGGTTTTGAATATACATTAATATTGATATTTCTTATCGAGAAGTTTTTGGATAATTATACTAAAATATTAATACTAAAATATTACGTTTTACTTTAGATTTTGAATATACATTAATGTTGATATTTCTTATCGAGAAGTTTTTGGATAATTATACAAATATTAATACTAAAATATTACGTTTTACTTTAGGTTTTGAATATTTATGTTCTAATTGTTTATATTAATAGTCGAATTAGAGCAGTAATGATTTAATAATATTGAATAGGATATAAGTTTAACATACCTTAAGTTCGGTTTTGATTTTTTTGGCAGGTGGAGGTGATGAGCTTCGGTCATCGATATTCGAGGTTGGCTGTGAGTTGTTGAAGAGGGAAGCCGAGGTGACTGTCGGTGCATTGGCGTTGGCCGCTGCGTTCGCAGTTGCCGCTGCAGTGGAGATGGGTGCTGGCGTCGAGGTAGGTGCCGAAACTTTGGCCTGCTCGGGTTTAGCAGCTGATCCTGTCGCAGCGGCTGGACTTGCCGGAGGTCCAGGACTCGGTCCTTGGGTTACCTGAGGTGGTCCTGGCCCCGAGCTTGCAGGAAACACAGGTCTTTGAGTCACTGGGGCACTGACACGGAGGACACCGTTCACTTCGACACTACTGTTCACTGGCACTTTGGGGTTCGGCTTCTCCGACGAGTGTTTGTTCTTGTCGCGTCTGTGGCCACTGGAACCACGCTTCGAGCTCGAAGAACTCGAAGAGCTGGAGTTCTGGTTGGAAGGGTTCGGGTTGGAGTTGCTGTTCGAATTTGCGTTCGCCGATGAAACGTTCGAGGAAGATATACTATTACCACCGCCGCCGCCGCCGCCTCCACTACCACCACCACCACCACCGCTGTTCACCGCACCAGAACCGGCACCGGTGCCGCCACCGCCGGCGTTGTTACCACCGCCCGTCGTCACTGTCGGATGTTTTCCACCCTTGTCGGAGCCTCCGCTACCACCGCCACTTCCACCGCCGCCGCCGCCGCCACCGGTACCAGCACCTGCACCACCTCCTCCTCCTCCGCCGTTACCTGTACCGGTGCCGTCGGCTCCGTTGCCGCCTCCACCACCGCCACCGCCTCCACCGTTCTGTTCGTTACTCTTCACTATCTCGTGCTTCGCCTCCGAGCTTTTGGTGCCCGGTTTCGTCCTTTTAATCTTCATCTTTAAACCTTTGTCGACGGTAGCAGAGTGCTCGACGGCCATCTTCGCGGCGGCTGCCGCCTTCGCCGAGGGGCTCGCATTCGAGGCCATGCCCCCCTCGTCCGTTTTCTCTATGTCCGCATCCAAATCTATTATGAGGTCTCCGATGCCGATGTCCCACTCGTTGTCATCATACTCGAAATTGGAGTCCGCCACCCTGGGCGGTCGGTGGCTGGGGTCCTGCGAAGAGGTTGTGGGCCTCATTGGGGCCGCCATGCCACTCGGGGCGCTGAGTAGCCGCCGAGACACTGCCCCGCGGCCACACACCCCACTCTCACTACGCACATCTTACACCACACTGAAACACAAATATAAACAAACCATTAGCATCAACATCAACAAACTATTATCACCCCAAATGTCATCACAAACCAATACAATTTCATTCAACTTCTTATATCAATGTTCAAACTAAATTATATCACAAATAGCAACAATAGCAAACAACAATGATATTAAATAACATCCCATTAAGTATTTACATTGAATGAATTTTTCGTTAAACTACAATTAAATTTAACATATAACAACTTCGAACAACAATGTGAAACGTATAAATTTCTCATTGATAAAACATTAAGTTGGAAAATTCTTCCGGTTATATAAAAATAACATCAAAACAAAAAATAAAATTTATTTACTTAAAAACAATTCTAAAAAAAAGATTTGTTTGTTATTGTTAACTTACTGGAATACTGGAAATTCCGTATCAGAATGTATAATAAACGAATTGTTTGCATAAAAACGTACTTTAAATGTTTCGACTTAAATTTATATCATATTTGTCAAATTCCGTGCATTTTATTTATAAAAATCCATTATTCTTATATCAATGTTCTTAGAAATCAAACTGAATTATATTACAAATAGCAACAATAGCAAACAACAATGATATTAAATAACATCCCATTAAGTATTTACATTGAATGAATTCTTCGTTAAGCTTCAATTAAATTTAACAACTTTGAACAATAATGTAAAACAGTGGTCGGGGAACTTTTTTAACCATTACCCCAAAATATTATTGCGTAAGTCGATATTAACATTATTTATTGAATTAATTTGCATTTACATATTTATTAAAAAAAAAAGTTACATGAAAATAGTAACAAATAGTAATAGACAAAGAAAATAAAATTCTTAAATTGGAACAAACAAAAATTAATTGAAAACTTTCCCCCTTCAGGTTTTGGAAACATGATGTTGCTTCATTTATGATATAATTACTTTAAAATTGGGACTTTTTGATGTAAGAGCAATTTGAATATACAGTCTTCGGCGTTTAATCGATTTCTGTTTTTTGGTTTTTATGTTCATTAGAGTGGAAAAGCCTTGTTCACAAAATTAGGTTGTTGCAAATAGCAGCAATTTTTTTTTACCGTCTCCTCATGTGCAATTTTGAAAGCCTTTGCAGCCTTTGACCACCAAAAAGACGACAGATTTGCTTTGGTCTCAAATTGAATACAGTATTGGATGGAAGTTCAAGAATTGCCTCTGCCAAACCTTGAAGTTCTTCTGGTATATTAGTAATTTCACATTTAAAAGGATCTACAATCCAATTTACAGTTTGTATATCAAGATCTGAAAAGTAGTCAGAGAACCGCTCTCTGAATTTGGTAAGATGAGATTAGAAAAATTTCCCTATTACCCAAAAAAAATCATTTTTACCCCATTTTGGGTAATTTACCCCGGTTCCCCGACCGCTGATGTAAAACGTATAAATTTCTCATTGATAAAAGATTAAGTTGGAAAAACCATTTAAAGATAAAAATATGAAGACATATCAATCACAAAACATACTACATTTAAGTACTTTCACAGTTGATGCCACAGCATTCTTCCGGTTATATAAAAATAACATCAAAACAAAAATAAAATTTATTTACTTAAAAACAATGCTAAAAAAAGACTTGTTTGTTATTGTTAACTTACTGGAATACTGGAAATTCCGTATCAGAATGTATAATAAACGAATTGTTTGCATAAAAACGTACTTTAAATTTTTCAACTTAAATTTATATCATATTTGTCAAATTCCGTGGATTTTATTTATAAAAATTCATTATTGCAATTATTGTATTTATAATTAAGCTTTGCTAAGGTGAAGATTTCTCTAGTTGTATATAAATGTTGATTAATCTATTTGGTTCGATTAATTAAGTCAAATCAAAGGAAATGCACAAAAAAGACTTGTTTGTTATTGTTAACTTACTGGAATACTGGAAATTCCGTATCAGATTGTATAATAAACGAATAAATTTATATCATATTTGTCAAATTCCGTTCATTTTATTTATAAAAATTCATTATTGCAAATATTGTATTTATAATTAAGCTTTGCTAAAGTGAAGATTTCTCTAATAGTTTATTATTAGAAGGTAAAAAAAATAATGAATTCTTGTCGATGGGACAAAGTTACGGCAGAATAAATCGTCATTAAAATAAAACGATTAATCAATCAAAAACGGTATTGTTGTTGCGGCGCAACTGTTCGAAGTGTACACGCTGCAGCAGCATCCTATTAATTCCGACCAGACACAACAGATGTGACAAGTCTTTTAGACAATCATCGGCCATCCATCATAAACCTTGTCACTTGGCAAGTCCTGCGTACAGCACCATAAATCCACTTTGAATGCCGCCGCCTCTCTCACTCTCTCCTCTCACTATTCGCATCGCAAAGATAAAATGACAAAATTAAGTTCTCCAAAACATTATCACATTCAAATCTGTAAATATATTACACAATTGAAATTGCGTTCTGACTATTGTTACGTGAAACGTGATTAATTGACAAGCTTTTTTGTTTAAGATGATTTGTGTCGTGTTAACCTTCGCGCTCGACGATTTCAATCAGACAAAATCAGAGTATCGGTATTTTTATGGGTATTTAGGTTACGTGTAAATGAAAAAAAAACGTACATGTAATCAATAGATAATTATGTAATTGGAACTGTTTTGATTACTTTACACTCACATTTTCCATAATTTTCAGACGTTTAACACTTTACAAAAGTTAAGCAACTTATGATATTGAAAATGACTAATTATATGAACATTAACATAACTAATTAGACTGTTGCAACTAATATTATACAATTATTTTGTTCTGTTCAATCAATAAATGTAATTGCATTTATATTATCTAATAATTAACGTTCTTCTAAATTTTAGAATCTAAAATGAGACTCCCATTATTCGAAACTTAAGTAAATATTATTTCTCTGTACGAAAAAAAAACTAACAATTTGGGTAGGAAATGCATACAATTTGGTAAGTACATTATGCGTTGCGGTTTTCGCGCAATTGTGTAACCAGTTTTAGCGGAACAATGAATTGCAATGATGAGTGATGTCAGTGCATTGTCTAATAATTAATAATTCATGGGGCTGCGGTGTGCAATCACCGTTCGGTTTTGTATAAATCCCGAAATTCGCTGTTCGTCCATCCAAACCCAAACATCAGCATCATCATCATCATCGTCCCACCCAGGTAGCTTCAGGCACGGATTGCAAAACTACTGCTGTTACTGCTGCTACGTCTGCATAACAATGGAACATTGCATATGCAACAAAAAGAGACGGCAAATCCCAATAAATTAATTACGAACCGCACAAAACCATTATTCTCCTCTCTCTCTTTTAACGTTGTGCATGTAACTGCAGCATTTGCAAACAATGACAGCCTTGCTCCTGGATTATGCATGCTTTATTGCATTGTTTTTGCATGCGCCTCTATTTTTTTTCTTCTTTATGTGCAATAATTAACAAATACACGCGGTGATTATGCTAATTGAACGAGCCTTTTTTTTTTGAAGCGCGAAATCGTGCTGGTGCGGACGCTAATTACCGTCGAATCTATTTCGTTTCGATCCAATTGCCGTTATTATTGTTGTCATTAATGCAAATCTCCTCTCTTTTGATAGACACACACTTGCTTACTTCATTAAAATAATAGCTGCAATTTCATTTAATTCCATCAGCGTTCCAATGAAGCATAATAATCCAATACATTATCTTCTTAAAAATTTAATAGAAAAACTATCGAATTTCAGCAGCTCAACAAGAACTTAAATAATTCGGTTAATTAACAGTTTTAAAAGATGAAATATACACTAAAATAATTAATATTTGAGATTTTAGAAACAAAAATTTTCAATATTGAATGATAAAGTTAATGATTACATCTCTAAGACCAAACAATATGCAATTTCATGTGACCACAACAATCTAATAGATAATTTGAATACCTATTGAGAGGTTTTACATATACATATGAAGTATGAGGAAAAGATTTTAAAAACTGCATTTTATATTGTAAACGAGAGATTACATTATTTTCTAGAAAATTTAGAACTTTTCTTTTCAAACATTTGCATATCTAAAGCACAAAGAAGAAAGTTTGTAAACTACTTGAAGAAACATCACTACAAAATTTTGTATAATATATTCAATTATATCATAGAATAAATGAAGCAGATATTATGAAAAAAAAAAACTAGAAAAATTTAAACTTTTGAAATCAATAAACGTTTGAAACTAAATAGCAAATAGGAATTCCATTTAGTTTTACTTTTATTATTGTGTTATTTTTGTTGCAATAAATATTATTATTGTTGTCATTAATGCAAATCTCCTCTCTTTTGATAGACACACACTTGCTTACTTCATTAAAATAATAGCTGCAATTTCATTTAATTCCATCAGCGTTCCAATGAATCATAATAATCCAATACATTATCTTCTTAAAAAATGTAATAGAAAAACTATCGAATTTCAACAGCTCAACAAAAACTTAAATAATTCGGTTAATTAACAGTTTTAAAACATGAAATATACACAAACACACTAAATTTATCTAAAATAATTAATATTTGAGATTTTAGAAACAAAAATATTTCAATATTGAAATTAAATTCATGATAAAGTTAATGATTACATCTCTAAGACCAAACACAAGTTCAAGGCATCAAAATATGCAATTTCATGTAACCACAACAATCTAATGGATAATTTGAATTATCTATTGAGAGGTTTTACATATACACATGAAGTATGAGGAAAAGTTTTAAAAACTGCATTTTATATTGAAACGAGAGATTACATTATTTTCTAGAAAATTTAGAACTTTTCTTTTCAAACATTTGCATATCGAAAGCACAGAGAAGAAAGTTTGTAAACTACTTGAAGAAACATCACTACAAAATTTTGTATAATATATTCAATTATATCATAGAAAATTCGTAAATGAAGCAGATATGAAAAAATTTAAACTTTTGAAACCAAATAATAAATAGGAATTCC